CAGCGCATTTTCATTTTTGGGTGAACTATTCCTTTAAGTTTAATTATAAATGAAATTTGGCATTAAACCATTATTGTATGTACAATAGAAAAAATTGATAACAGTGTAACGCCTTTGAAACATGAGACAGAAAAATGTAAACTGTTCTAATTATGGAAAAAGAAGACCTAATATTGTTTGTTTTATTAATTGTTTTTGTGCATCAGTCATTCAAATGTTTTGCCATGCTTTGTTCACCATTAAATGTTTGCTAATATCACAGATGTCAGTGCTAATGGTATAGTGCTGAATTCGCAGGTGCTGGAAGCGCTGCAATATGTGGACAGCACTGGAGCGGTTCAGCTGAAGGGTCGTGTGGCGTGCCAGATCAGCAGTCATGAGCTGCTACTGACCGAACTCCTGTTTGAGAACACACTGAGTCCTCTCGCCCCTGAGGAGAGCGCCGCCCTGCTGTCCTGCCTCGTCTTCACGCAAAACACCCAGATAGACCCACACATCACCAACACACTACAGGAGGTAATGCAGAGCTCGCCACATATTCTCACAACCGCCGGAGATTAAAAGCTGAGGAAATCCTATGAAGTACACATGCTAATACATTATGCCCATCAAGCATTTTATTTGAGCCCACAGCCATTCGAATATAAAGCATCAGATACTCTTGTCGTCATGGTTATGGATGGGTGTGAATTTATACGGCTCTCTGAGCTCAACACCCAAGAGATGTTCGGCCTGGGCGCTTAGCTTTATGCCTTTAGCAAAGGATGCAGTCGCACACGAACGTGTAGGTGTGTGTTGTCGAACGGCCCAGAAACATGGAATTGCTTTAAAGGGACCGTGAATAAGTCATGACACTAGACTGAGAAGCACACAAGAGTTATATAGTTCACAGAGGCTCGTAGGCCAATGTGAAAAAGCCCTTGCTGTTCAAACGCTGCGAGGTGAGGGCGTACAGGTAATGTAGCTGCAGTTTGACTGCATGACTACATTGCCTGCCTTGCTCTAGTTGTGTAAGCACTTAGACAGCAGATGGAGACGAGAGTGGAGCACAGGACAAAAGAAACTGACGCAGTGCTGTGCTGAGAGATCCCACTATGATTAATATGTAAATCTATATGTTTAGGCCATCTCATTTAATTAATTACACAAGATGCCACTTAATTAATTGAATTAATCACATATAACACATATGTCACATATAACAATAACTATAACTTTGATTGAAGATAAAACATTAAATGATGAGTAAATAATTAAGATATTATACAATGCATATAGAGGCAGCTATGGAAAAAACTTGAGACCACTTGAAAATCCTCAGTTTCTCTGGATTTACTAGGTGTGGGTTTGAGCAAAATGTTAATATTTGTTTTATTCTATAAAGGTCTGGTAACATTTCTTCCAAATTTCAAATACAAATTTTTTTTCAGAAAATGACAATTGATCAAAATAAATGTTTTCATTTGTTGTGATTGAAAATCAGGGTTATTCCACCAAATATTGATTTCTTAACTCTTCTGAAGTTAAACAATTGGTATTGTTTGTTGTCTAAACATGAATATAAACATGTCGGAAAACATGACATCTTTTTGTTATTTTGACTAATTGTCAAAAATCCCCAAAATGAAAATTTTATTTAAAATGTGGAAGAAATGTCTTCAGTAGTTTACAGAACATAACAAAAATTAAATTTGACTCAAACATAACTATAAAATGGAAATCCAGAGAAACTGAGAATTTCCTAGTGGTCTCTTCATTTTTTCCATAGCTGTGTGTGTATATATCATAGACTGTATATATATATACAGATTTTGTTCATGTGTTTGAAAGAAGGCTGCACTTATTTGATTAAACGTTAATCAAATTGTAATTATTCCTGTGTGGCACAGCTGAATTTCCAGCATCATTATTCCAGTCTTCACATGATGTGTCACATGATCCTTCAGAAATCATTCTAATATGCTGATCTGCTGCTCAAGAAACATTTATTATTATTATAAATATTGAAAACAGTTGTGCTTGTTCATACGTTTGTGAAAACCATGATACATTTTTTTTCAGGATTCTTTGATGAATAGAAAGTTCACAAGAACGGCATTTATTTGAAATTTTATTTTTTTTGTAACATTGTAAATATCTTTACTGTCACTTTTGATCCATTTAATGTTCATGCTGAATAAAAGTATTAATTTCTTTAAAAAAATTACTGATCCCAAGCTTTTTATCATTTATACATTTAATTTATATTATATATTCATATAATACATATATATATATATATATTATACAATTATAAATCATTTTTCCATTCTCTTGCTTTTGTAGGGCATCAGTCAAGTGCTCAATGTGGCACAGCGTATTGGTGAGCTGCAGAGGGATTGTGGGATAGCTCAGACTGCTGAAGACTTTGTGGCCCAGTTCAAGTTTGGCCTGACTGAGGTTGTATACTGCTGGGCAAGAGGCATGGTGAGCACTGACCTTAAAACAAATCATCCAACCGTCACAGTGGCCTTATTATGGTGCTCATTTAGTTCACTTGATATTATAGTTTTTATTTAATAATATCATAGAGACAAATTAATGTATCCTTTAAGGAATACCTAATTATGAAACTCCTATCTATCTATCTATCTATCTATCTATCTATCTATATGTCTGTCTGTCTGTGTGTCTATCTTTCCATCCATCCATCTATTTATCTATCTATCTATCTATCTATCTATCCGTCTGTCTGTCTTTCTTTCCGTCCGTCCGTCTGTCTGTATGTATGTCTGCCTGTCTATCTTTCCATCCATCCATCCATCCATCTATCCGTCTGTCTGTCCGTCCGTCCATCCATCTATCCATCTATCTATCTATCTATCTGTCTGTCTGTCTGTCTGTCTGTCTTTCTTTCTTTCCGTCCGTCCGTCCGTCTGTCCGTCTGTCCGTCTGTCTGTCTGTCTTTCTTTCTTTCCATCCATCTGTCTGTCTGTCTTTCCATCCATCCATCCATCTATCCGTCTGTCTGTCTATCCGTCTGTCTGTCTGTCCGTCCATCCATCTATCCGTCTGTCTGTCTGTCCATCCATCCATCCATCCATCTATCCGTCTGTCTGTCTGTCCATCATCTATCTATCTATCTATCTATCTATCTATCCGTCTGTCCGTCTGTCCATCATCTATCTATCTATCTATCTATCTATCTATCTATCTATCTGTCTGTCTGTCTGTCCGTCTGTCCATT